GGGATCTACATTGCCTGCCATTTAAGGCCTCATATGGAGCCATTTGCATGCTAGATTGATAACTGTTATTGTAAGCGAACTCCACAAGGCTAAGTATTTATCCCACTACCACCAAAGTCCAAATGCAAGACCTTAGCATATCTTCAAGTATATGGATGGTTCTCTCAGATTGACCATTTGTTTATGGGTGAAAAGTAGTACTAAGATCCGTTAACTAGCCAAAGTGTCTTGGAAAGATCTCCAAAATTTGGGAAGTAAACTGAGGGCCTCTATTAGAAATTATCAATATTGGGACCCCATGCAACCATACAATATCATCAATATACAATTAAGCTAACTTATCAACATTATAAGTTGTCTTCACTAGAACGAAATGAGCTGATTTAGTCAATCTATCAATAATAACCCAAATAAAATCATGTCCTTTCAACATACGAGGCAACCCGGTAACAAAGTCCATAATGATATTTTCCCATTTCCACTCTGGTATCTTTTAATCGTTGATTGTAAATCTAGCTAACTTCTGATGTTCTGCCTTAACTTGCTGGCATGTCAAATAGTGTGAAACAAAGTCGGCCACATCCTTTTTTATGCCATCCCACCAATACAATTGTTTCAAAATCCTGATACATTTTTGTTGCTCCTAGATGAACGGCATACGCAGAATGATGAGCTCTTCAAGATAAGTCACTTTAAATTTTCCTCTTGGAGCACGCAAAATTTACCATTGCACTTTAATTCTTCCTAGTCAATTTCAAACTTAGTGTAATCCTACTAGGACTGCTTCCTTTAACTTGCATAACTTAGATCCAAAATTGAGCACTCTTAATCTGATCCATTAAAGAAGAACAAGCTCATACGTGAGTTAGAAATGCTCCCTTATCAACAATCTCAAACTTCACTCCACTCTGTTCAAGCTTATGAATTTCTTGCACTAAAGGCCTCCTTACTAAAGTCATATGCGCCAAACTTCCCATAGGTTTCCTACTTAATGCATCAACTACAACATTTGCTTTGCCAGGATGGTAAAGAATTGTACAATCATATTTCTTAAGCAACTCCATCCATCTTCTTTGTCTAAAATTAAGATCCTTTTACTCAAAAATGTATTTAAGACTCTTATAATAAGTATAAATTCAATAAGTCTCACCAAAGATAGTGGTGCCAGATCTTCAATGCAAAAACAACCGTTGCCATCTCCAAATTGTGAATTGGGTAGTTCTGCTCGTGCTTCTTAAGTTTCCTTGAGGAATAAGCAATAACTCATCCATATTGCATTAAGACACACCCTAGACCCACACGAGAAGCATCATAACAAACCGCATACCCTTCTGCTGCCTGATGGTAAACTCAAGACTGGTGTCGAAGTTAAACACTCCTTTAACTTTTGGAAACTATCTTCACACTTGTCATCCCATTCAAATTTCACATTCTTCTAAGTTAGTCTCGCGGTGGAGCAGCTATTTTGGAGAAATCCTTGACAAAAAATGATAATATCTTGCAAGACCCAAGAAACTATGAATTTCTATAATAGTTGTCAGTCTTTGCCAATTTCTGCACCGTTTCTACTTTGCTTGGATCCACCTGAATACCATCTTTAGAAACACCATGTCTTAAGAAGGTAGCTTTATCAAGCCAAAATTTACATTTAAAGAACTTGGCATAAAGTTATTGCTCCCTTATTGTTTGTAAAACAAGCCACAAGTGATGTTCATGCTCCTCTAGGCTCTTTGAGTATATCAAAATATCATCAATGAAAACGATCACGAATTTGTCAAGGAATAGTCTAAACACTCGATTCATCAAATCCATGAATGCTACCGGTGCATTAGTTAACTTAAATGACATTACAAGGAATTTATAATGACCATATCAGGTTCTAAATGCAATCTTAGGTATCTCCTCCTTCTCGATCTTTAACTGATGATAACCCGAATGTAAGTCTATTTTGGAAAAACACTTAGCTCCTTGCATCTGATCAAAAAGATCATCGATCTGAGGTAATGGGTACTTATTTTTCACCATCACCTTATTAAGTTGTTGATAATCAATACAAAGTCTTAATGGCCCATCTTTTTTCTTCACAAAGAGTACTGGTGCTCCCCATCAGGTGAATCCCTTATCTAATAGTTCTTGCAATTGAGACTTCAGTTCTCTCAGCTCAGAAGGTGCCATTCTGTAAGGCGGAATAGAAATTGGCACTAGTGCAAATGGAGTTTTTGGCCATAGTTAAAAAAAATTTTTAGCGACAGAAGATAGTGTGTGGTAGTAAATGGCATTTTTTGCCATAATTCTTTATAGAATTGTGGCGAAAAATAGCATTTACAACCACAGGTGAAAAGATGCATTTACGGCCACAGGTCTATCTCGGACCTGTGGTTAAATGGTTAGGATGATCACCATTTATGGCCACAGTTATTAACCATAATTGTGGCCATAAATGGCATTTTTGGCCATATTTATAACAAATAACTATGGTTGTAAGGGTTTTGTTTTTTTTTAAACACTCGTAACTATATACATCCTTACTAATTATAAAACCTACATAAATACATACAGCAGTTCTAAAGATTAGTACAAAACATCCATTACAAACAAATATTCAACTAAATATAAGCATTTCCAACACAAATATATATAAACTATTTACTCTAATCTTGTTAATTCTAGGAAAAAATTAGACCAAATGTTATGTGCATGTCTTATCTCTTACTTAAAATATGGCTCTAAACTTGTGAAATGCTGCAAATTTAATAACAATATATGTATAAATAACAATTTAAGTATAAGGCCAGCTTCAAAATATAAAGCATTAAAAACATATTATTACCTTATCAAAGATGATAACATAGTATTAAGAAAATAAAATTAATTCAATATATAAAACCAATATTATAATCTTTATTCTAATTAAGGAATAAATTTAAAATACTTACTTGAATATGCACCCACTTGATTTCATTTTGCTTCTTGTCAACTTTATTTGCTAACCTCCAATAACAAAATAAAGATCTATTTATCAAATATGCATAATTAAAAACTATTAAATATATGATGACCATAAGTATCATTAGTTCAGATAATTTGGCACTTACACCAGTCTACAAATGCCAGGTGCTCAATTGCCATTTAAACACGCCATAGTAGAGTACCAACGTGAAGACAAAATTGTCTAGAAAACTAAAAAGAGATGGTAAAACTTTGAGGAGCTAAAATAGTCTATAGGACCAAAATATATAACTTTGAATAGATGACAAAAACACAAACACAAGATATATATGCTTTACTTAATCCTATTGCACATTAATCTGACAATTTTGGTAGGAGAATTACAATCAAGTTCCTATACCATGAGATTTATGGACAAGTTAGCATAATAAAATAACAATTATTGAGTCAAATTCTCTGAATTTTGTAGGTAGGTACATAATATGTAAATATTTTTCTAAACATTCTCTGAATAATAATGATCTTTGGAAACTAAACTTAGTTAAACTTAATAGAAGAAGAGGATGCCTTGTTAATAAAATGATATGTATCCAAGTGGTACCTGCCATCTCCTAATACTGAAACCTGAATCCATTATTGAGAAAACTTGGATCTCGGGAAAAATGGCTTTAATTTGGAAATTGAAATCATTTTATATTATTATAATTATTTTCACCAATTCAAAATTTAATAAAGACAATACATGCATAGATATTCTCTGTTTTGCAAAGCACACACCAATATATGCTACTATTATGACTAGCTAGGATTAATATTAATGTCGATGCTATGCAAAGGCATGAAATAAGGTTAAGTAAAATAAAACATACTACTATGGCAACATGAGTAATGAAATATTCTATAGCTAAATAGTAGCTAGATGTGATCAATTCTCAAAAATTAATTATAATAATATCCTCGTTAGGCTACTAGCCAAATATAATTAAATTATTTGCACAGGATACTGTTCTACCCACTCTTATTAGGCACATTCACACACACTAATAAACAAATAGCAGAGCACCAACTTGAAGACAAAATAGTCTAGGGAACTAAAATAGTCTAGAGGACCAAAATATATAACTTGAAAGGCTGATTAATATCTGTGAACATAGTACCATAGAAGTGAAGCATTAACACACCTTGTTACTATGAAATTGAGCTTACAAAGGCTGATTCATGTGCTTTGAAATTTGCAATGACACTATTACTCACTCACAGACGCAAGTGCTTCAATGGCTCTTATCATGCTTTTCCTTCAGGTTTCTTGTCTATCGCATGCACTCTTTTAAGAGCACCATCTAGATGTGATGCACGATCCTTTAAAGTGAGTTTTGCAAGAGTAACAAATTCAAGATGATTCTTCAATGACAAAGCTTCTGCTTCAGCCTTTTCCCATCCTGTAACAATTGGACATGATTAAAATCTAAATCCAAGAACAATAACAAGCCCTCAGAATTGAAGTAAAATTGAAGTTTGAAAATCTTAGTTAGTATGTAGTTTCATTATTAAAAAAAGCATACCTGAGACAGCTTCTTCAGCCACTTTTGCATGTTGTTTTACAAGGTTTTCCTTGGTTGTCATCTCTGAATTTGCAGTGACAACTTATCACTCAGCTCCTTGATTCCATCCTCTAGACTGTGAACTTTTTCCTTATATGTCTTCACTTGATCCTCCAAACCAGTCAGATGGGTATATGACTCCATAGAAATTTGGACATAGTTTGGTTTTTTGTAGTTATCCTGTTTGAAAAAGACAAACACAAGGAAAAAAAGAAAAATATGTGTAATTAACATTGCTGATTCTAGGAAACCAGGAGAATGTTAAAACAATCAAGCCATCTAAACCAAGGGCTGCAAGTCCTGTAAAGTTACAAGTTTTAAAGAGAGAGAGGACTAAATGCATAGTTTATGCAAGAAAACTAATATATACATCAAGCTATGGAACTATAAATGTTTGTTCAAATATCTAAAAGAGAGACCCAGTGTAAAAATGCTTAAAGATGTTATAAGGAAAAATAAAATTCATAAAATAAGAATCTAGGCAAACAAACAGGAAACTTGCAGTAGGAAAATTTGAATCTATAAAACATTTAGTTATAACAAATTAGCGAGACAAAATGCAACAGATATTAAAAGCTAATATTAATATGAACAACATACTTATAATAAAAACAAAAGTATATTATCAAAAGAAGAAAAAGTAAACATTGTCTTTATGAAAATTTTCTTGACGCGGCCTATGGACTCTATTTTTCTTTAGGGGAAATTTAATGAGGTTACCTAATTGCCCTGGGAGAAAGCACTAATAGAGTCCAATCCAGCAGCTGCTTTCTCAAGAACTGCCTTGTCCAATGATATTTTCTTTTAAGGCTAGCGCCAGTCCATTTGAAACATGAAATTTTACAAGCGGTTTATTCAGCACATTTGAAACGTCTAAAAACAAAAGCACTTGAAAAGAGCATCACTGACAAAAGAAAAAAAAACCATGAGTGACAAGAAAAAAATAATAATTACTGGGAAACTGAAGAGAGGGAAAAATAGAAGGAGAAGGGCAAGTGAAATTAGCTTACCAAAAAGAGAGGGTACAAAAAGATTGGGAACAAAAAAACCACGCTAAGGGATGAGAGGGATATGGGGTGGAGCTGAGGAGGTGGTCAAAACTGAAGAGATAGGGGTAGGAGCTGTGGGAGAATGACAAAACGATGCGCGGGAATTGGAGGCATTGTGATGTTAGGAGCGGGATGTCACGGCCTTGGAACTCCCTTCCCTTGAACCGTGCCGGCCTTAGCTTGATCCCTCTCTTGATCTTTGCTAAGTCAGCCGAATCTCACAAGTAGGCAAGGAGGCTAAGAGAGCTAGATGCACAAGTAGAGAGTAGAGAGCTTGAGTGAATAAACTTTAAGAGCTTTTACACTAAGCTTGAGTGAGTTACAAATGAGGGGTGAGGGGGTATTTATAGGCCTCCCCCTTTCTCTAGAAAATTCCCACCTCCTTAATGGACGGTTGGGATTGATTCGATCTAACGGTGTACATTCTATCTCTAGATAATTCTATAGAAATATCTACAAGAAATATCTTGATAATTACAAGGAGACTACTAGAATGTACAAGAGCAAGATATCTCTAGAATGGTCTGGATGCTTCAAGTGTTTTCTACACTACTCTAGAGATATCTAGGTCTTTCGAGGACATACCGGCGTATTCCAGAAGACTCCGGGGTGTTCTTGATTGTCCTGGATCATTCCGGAGACTTCTAGAATATCTTAACCTCATGAAAATTCTATCTTCGTCACATTCTCCCCCACCTATTCGAGTGACGTCCTTGTCACGGCATCATCTCTATAAGATCGAAGTAGTTCTTCAAATTGCCAAAGATCTCTTTGAGATTCCCATGTTGCTTCACTCTCTGGCAATCCCTTCCACTTGATCAAGTATTGTGTGTCTGGTGGCACACCTCTTTTCCGCACAACTCGGTGGCTAAGTATTTCTTCAAGTCCTCGATCATATGCTTTAGTGATGGTCGGTGGGGTACGTGATGATGTTCCTCGCGTCGGGTCATCCTGATCTTCATGATAGGGTTTCAACATGCTAACATGAAAGACAGGATGAATCTTTAAATTAGTAGGGAGATCCAATTTATATGAGACTTTCCCTACCTTCTTGATTACCTTATAAGGACCTTCATATTTGCGAATGAGGCCCTTGTGTACTGATCTGAAGGCTTTGAATTGTTGTGGGAGAAGTTTCACCATTACCATGTCTCCCACTTGGAATTCTATTGCACGCCTCCGTTTGTCTGCAAATTTCTTCATCTTCTTGCAGCCTTCTCGAGGAATGATCTTGTTTCATCTGCCCGTTCCTGCCAAGACTTAGCCATGTTAAAAGCTCCAGGGCTCTTACCTTTATAGGAGATTGCGAGGGCATGTGGGGTGATCGGTTGTTGTCCCATCACAATCTCAAATGGACTCTTCCCTGTCGCCTCGCTCCTTTGTAAGTTGTAAGAGAACTGAGCCACATCAAGCAACTTAGCCCAGTCCTTTTGATTGGCGCTAACAAAGTGCCGCAAATAGCACTCAAGCAAAGCATTCACCCTCTCAGTTTGCCCATCTGTTTGAGGATGAAAGCTAGTTGAGAAGTGTAGCTCTGTCCCCAATAATTTGAATAGTTCTGTCCACAGCTTTCCTGTGAACCTTGGATCTCTGTCACTGACAATAGTTCTAGGAAGGCCCCAATACTTTACCACATTTTTGAAAAACATCCGAGCCGCTTCCTCAGCCGTGCAGTCTGTCGGGGTAGCTATGAAAGTTGCATATTTGGAGAATCGATCTACTACCACCATGATGGATCCAAATCCTTCTGACTTAGGTAATGCTGAGATGAAGTCTAAGGAAACACTTTCCCATGGTTGGCTCGGTGTAGGTAAGGGTTCGAGCAGTCCTCCAGGCAATTGGTTGTCTACCTTGTCTTGTTGGCATACAAGACAAGTCTTCACATAATGTTCCACATCCTCCCTCATGTGAGGCCAATAATAGGCTGCTTCTAACAAAGCCAAAGTTCGCCTCTGACCGGGGTGACCTGCCCATTTAGAGTCGTGACACTCTTTGATCAGCTCCTTCCTTAGGTTTGCCCATTTAGGGACATACATGCGCCTTCCCAGAGTGTAAAGGATGTCATCGTCCACCCAGAATCTCTTAGTCTTTCCCTCTTTTGCTAGTTCCATTAGCTGTAGGGCTATAGGATCCTGGGCCATTCCTTCCTTAACCTTTTCGACCAAGTCCCCACTGACTTGGGTTAAGGTTGCCAGTTCTGCTTTTCTACTTAGAGCATCAGCAACAACATTAGCTGCTCCTGGCTTATACTCTAACACATAGTCAAACTCAGCCAAGAAGTCTTGCCATCTTGCTTGCTTTGGCGTCAACTTCTTCTGAGTCTGGAAGTAACTAGTAGCCACATTGTCCGTCTTGATGATAAACTTTGCCCCTAGCAAGTAATGCCTCCAAGTACGCAAGCAATGGATTATGGCCGTCATCTCCTTTTCTTGGACCGTGTATCGCTTCTCGGTATCATTTAGCTTGCGACTTTCAAAGGCAATAGGATGCCTCTCTTGCATTAGGACACCTCCTATAGCAAAGTTAGAGGCATCAGTATGTACCTCAAAGGTTTTGGAGAAGTCAGGAAGTGTCAACACCGGTTCTTCCATGACTGCCTTCAAGTCCTCAAAGGCTCGTTGGCACTCCTCCGTCCAAGTCCAACATTTGTTCTTCTTCAACAACTCTGTGAGAGGGGCGGCTCTTGCCGAGTAGCCTTTGATGAATCGTCGATAATAGTTTACTAATCCCAGGAAGGACCGCAGCTCAGCCACACATGTTGGAGGCTCCCATTCCTTTATAGCTTGTACCTTTTTCTCATCCATCTTGAGGCAGCCATGTGAGATGACATGTCCCAAGAAAGAGACTTCCTCCATAGCAAAAGAGCACTTTTCCTTCTTCACATAAAGCTCATTTTCACGAAGGGTCTTGAACACAATCTGGAGGTGTTCAGCATGTTCCTCCAGTGTGTTGCTATAGACAACAATGTCGTCTAAGTACACCACCACGAACCGATCGAGATAAGGATGAAAGATCTTATTCATCAAAGTGCAAAATGTGGCTGGTGCATTGGTTAGTCCAAAAGGCATAACTAACCACTCGAAGGACCCATATCGTGTCACACAGGTGGTCTTGGGTTCATCTCCTTCGGCAATTCGAACTTGATGGTACCCAGACCTTAGATCCAATTTGGAGAAGTACTTTGCCTTTCCCAGGCGATCAAACAAGTCAGCTATCAAAGGAATAGGATATTTGTTTTTAATAGTTACCTTATTGAGAGCCCGGTAGTCGATGCATAGGCGCAAGGACCCATCCTGCTTCTTTTGGAATAAGACCGGTGCCCCAAAAGGTGCTTTTGATGGTCGGATGAAACCTGCATTGATCAACTCCTTTAGTTTCTTCCTCAATTCCTCCAACTCAGGTGGTGCCATACGATATGGCGCCATGGCTGGTGGCCGAGTTCCTGGTTCCAACTCGATCTCATGATCCACTTCTCTACGTGGTGGAAGCTTCTTGGGCAACTCAGCAGGCATAATGTCTTGGTTCTCTACCAGAACACGGGCAATTATGGGAGGGACTTCTTCCTTGACCTTGTCCCCAGGGTCAATCTCCTTCAGTGTTGCCAAGTACGTAGCCTCTCCCTTCTTTATTCCCTTTTTGACTTGCAAGGCCGAGAGTTGGTGTCCACCGCTCACCCTTCTTGCAGTCACAAAGCAAGGGTTTTCCTTCTCGAGTATACAAAGTAAATTATAATAGGGCATGGGGTAAGCGTTTACCTGTCTGAAGAACTTAAGTCCCAGCACGACCTTGAAGTCATCCATAGGAGCTACGGAGAAGTCTATCTTACCACTCCAGTTCCCCAAACATAGTTCAACTCCTTGTGCTATGCCACATAATTGCTTAGGAGGTGAGTTAACTGCCTTCAAACTTCCTCCCTCCTGCACCACCTTGAGGCCTATTCTCTTGGCCTCTTCTGGAGTGATAAAATTATGGGTAGCTCCAGTGTCACACATTATGGTGACAGGTGATCCATTCAACTTCCCGTCTACGTACATCAAGCCCTCACCTTTAGGATTCTTTGGCAAGGGTTTGACCTTTAAAGCATTGAGGAGTCGTAGAGATCCCATCTCTGCTTCAGGCTCTTCTTCTTCAGCCTTCTCCATTATGGCTGCCAACGTACCTAGCTTCGGACATTCTCTCATTCGATGAGGGCCTTTGCACACAAAGCATCCTGTTGTTCCTTGAAGGTCTTCTTTTGTCCTTCAGGTTGTTTCCTCTGTAAGAACCTGCTATCACCCCCTTTGGATGTCCCCTTGCCCTTGTCTCCCCCACCTTTTCCAAAATTAGGTTTGGAAGACTTGGGTTTAGAGGGCTCACCTTTTTCCTTATGGTACTCTGTGAGACTTTCGGCTACTGTAATTGCCTCATCAACGGTTTCACGTCATGCCTCTATAGCTCGTGCTTGGCCCAGTTTTGGAGACCATCGATGAAATAGAAGAGAGCTTCTTCACTACTCAATTAGGAATCTGAAGTGTTAAAGAAGTGAAGTCTCGTACATAGTCAGAGATAGTGGTCTTATGTTTGAGATCCCTCAATTTCTTCCGTGCCTCGTAGACCACATTCTCTGGATAGAATTGCCTCTTCAGCTCTTTCTTAAAGTCCTCCCAAGTATTGATTGTGCAAAGTCCTTTGTCCATGTCTGCATGCTTCCTTCGCCACCATAGCATGGCATTGTCTGTAAGGAAATAGGCTGCGGTACGTACCTTGGTTTGATCATCAATCATCCCTAAGGTGTCA